GTACAGGCTCTTCCCACTCTGTTGGTTTGGGATGAGCTCACTCAAAGTCTGTGAGTTCCCAGACAGCTCTGCCAAATTCCAAACCTCCCACCATGGATAATCCCTGTACCAGCCACTGGTGAGCATGGGGTTGGGAAGATATAAACACATTATGGTGGGGATTCTCCCTCATCCAAGGTGGGGATGTAACTAACGGTGTCCTGTTAGACTCTTCTGGCTGTCAGAAAGCTGGTTCTTTCCTTTAGCCTTGCCATCTAGACAGGATGGTGGCCGAGGGCTGCTGGTAGCCATCTTGCTGGCTTTAGAGGGAAGGTGTGTGTGTTCGGGTGGGGGGTCATTCATAGCATCACTTGAATACCTGGATCCAGACATCCCTGAGGCAGGACTGTTCCCTGGGTTTTACAGTTATACAACCCAATATTCCCCCTTTTTACCTAGATGTGAATTTCTACCCCATGCCAATTAAAATACCATGACTAAAATAAACAGGTTGCCCACAAAGGGAACAGCAAATAGATTTGATGTTGGCCTTGTGTTGGCTTCACAGATGCCCACAACTTTTATAAATATGAAATCTGAGCCTGGTGGTGATGGCACACGCCTTTAATCCCAGCACTCGGGAATCAGAGCCAGGCAGATCTCTGTGAGTTCGAGGCTAGCCTGGTCTACAGAGCAAGATCCAGGACAGGCACCAACACTACATGGAGAATCCCTGTTTCAAATAAAATCTGGGACTGGGGAGATGATTTAGTGCTCGGGATCCTTATTGCTCTTAGAAAAGGACACAGGTTCAGTTCCCAACACCCAGCTGGGTGGCTCACAACCAACTGTGACTTCAGTTCTAGGGGATCTGATGCTCTCCTCTGGTCTCTTTGGGCAGCTGCATGCACATATATGTCCATACAACCAGGCATATATATTCCCTTGAATATAGATATCAAAGCCATCTATATATAATAGTGCCTGCCTGTACTCCCAGCTACCTGGGAGGCCAAGGTAGAAGGACTTCAGTCTGAAAGTGTATGAACAGCCTGGATGACATAGCAAGACTCTGTAGCAATAATAACAATGATCATCATAAAAGAAAAACATGGGTATGTTTATTATGAGCTGAAGTTCTGTGACAAAGCTTTTTTTATATTCAAGAGCCTGCAGACTGTTTGACCTTGGCTAGAACATCAAGATTCTAGAGAGATGGAATGCCGCAGATAAACAGCTGAAGTAGGTCAGGCCAACTCCAGTCCCTTCTAATAGCTGGGTTAGTTAGTTACCATGGCTGTCATGAAACACCACGACCAAAAGCAACTAATGGAGGAAAGGGTTCATTTCACTCACGGTTCCACAAAACAGTTCATCATCAAAAGCGGTGAGGGCAGAAACTCAAGCAGGGCAGGAACCTGGAGGCAGGAGCTGATGAAGAGGCCATGGAGGGGTGCTGCTGACTGGCTTGCTCATCATGGCTTTCTCATAGAACCCAGGACCACCAGCCCAGGGATGGCACCACCCACTATGGACTGAGTCCTCCCATATCAATCACTAATTAAGAAAATGTTCTAAAGGCCTGCCTACAGCCTGATCTTATGGAGGCATTTTTTTGTTTTTGTTTTTCAGTTGAGACCCTGTCCTCTCTGATGACTCCAGCTTGTGTCAAGTTGACATAGACCAGTCAGGACAACAGACATGTACTGTCGCCTCTGCGTTTGACCTGGTGTGTCCTGACTACTCTTGGAAGGCTTTGGTAAGCCTGACAGATGTCCAATTTCCACCAACCCTGCGCCTGAAAATGACCTAAAGGTAGCACCTGAGCCGGGAGGCACAGACCTGCAATCCTTTCTCAAGAGGCTGAAGCAGGAGGGCCCCAAGTTCAAGCCCAGCCTAGAAAACTTAGTAAGACTCTGTCTCAAAATTAAAACAATGTTTAAGAAGGAAAAAAGAGTGTTGGAAAGATGGCTCGATGGCACAGCATGTGATTAGCATGTTAGCATGTAACTAACATGTTAGCATGCATAAGGCTCTGGGTTCACTTACCAACAAGGCAAAGCTAACATCTACAAAGGGAGTTCCTGCCTTCTATAGTTGCCTACCTGATAACCCCATCTACTTTCTTTACTTTTGATCATGAAAGTTCATGCTGCTTTTCTGTGGTGACATATCCCATGCAGGGTGATAAAGTTTGCGTTCCCTGGCCCTGGTCATGCATATTTAGCTCAGAATGAACCATTTTGTTTCCTTCAAAGCAATATTTTATGTCAACAATATATAAACAAAAGATCCGGGGTGGATAGGTTGGGGTTAGCCTTTATCATGATGTCTGAGTTAGCATTGTCTACTTAACACAACCTAGAGTCATCTGGAAAGTCATTGAGGATTGACCCGTGGGCTTGCTTGTGGGGGACTGTGTTTATTATTAATTGATGCAGAAGGGCCCAGCCCACCGTGGGAAGCACCAGTCCCCAGGCAAGTGGTAGTGGGCTGTATAAGAAAGCTGGTTAAGTATGAGCCTGTGAGTGAGCCAAATAGAAAGCAGTGTCCTGCATGGTTTCTGCTGTAGTTCCTTAGCTGTGAGTGAGTTACCCAGTCAGAGGCAATGTGGTATGGGATAGCACATAGTCCTATGGTTAGGTCCAGTCTTAACTTCTCCCAGTGATGGACTGTGACCTGGAAGTATAAGATGAAATAAACCCTTTCCTCCCCAAGTTGCTTTTGGTCAAAGCATTTTATCATAGCAGTAGAGGCAAATTAGAACACATGCCTAATTCTGCCAGGCAGAGGTAGGGATGGGAATACAAGGGAAACATGACTATTCCTCCCCTCCTCTCAGACAGTCCTGGGAGGTCTGGCCACTCACACATCTGCTGCCTGAATGTCTTGGAGGAGACAGGGATGAGGGAAGGAAGAGAACAGCTCCCTTGGAAGCGGGAGGAGCACAATTCTTCTTGCAGTAGCTGGATGTGACCTCCCCCTCTGCCAGCCTTGAAAATCAGCCAGTCACCATGGTCCTTCACCCAGGGTTGACAGCCCAGTCTCTTGGTGAAACTGACCTGAAGCGATATCAACAAAATAGTTTCATTTAAAAAAAGAAAAGAAAAGAAAAGAAAAGAAAAAACCCAAACCAACAAGAAAAAAAAGGGGGGTTAGGTAGGCTGTCTTGGTGAGGATCCTCAGCTCCCCACTCAACCCCTGGCTTAAAGATCTGAAGCTCTTGACATAATCTCTTCCTTCCCAGAGTCGCTTAGAAGCAGGCCGGCCTGGGTAATATCTAGTCCCTACACTGTCAACTGTGGCACCTGGCGGTGCCAAAAGCCCCTGAGTCTTCTGCCATGAGACTCTTGGAGTGCCCGTCTCATAATTAGTTTTACAAGCTTGGGCTCAATTTTCTCATTCCTAGAAGTTAGCTGTCGGATAATCCCCATGATACACATAAGGAAAACTAGGCTCAGAGGGCTTAAAACCACTTGCCAAGAGGTGTGGCTGGGCCTCAAACTCAGGACTATCTGTCCCCAAACCCAGATTTCCTGCCTATTCAAAGTGGAGAGAGGAGCGCTTATATTTCTCTTTTTGTGGCACTGAATTTATGATACCCAGCTACAAGGTAGATGAACTGGCTTGAGCAAGACTGTCTTGCTGTTGATGTGGGATCAAAGCCAGGGCCCTGCCATGGACTACTCAGCTCTACCCTCAGCCTGGCAAAGTGAACTTTAAACACTGTGGGCAGGGCAGGAGGCTCTGGGCATCATGGCTGCTGGGACAGGGCTTCCCATTTGTGCACAGGGCCCAGTCAGGCTGGAGTCGGAGGCTGGGAACTCAGTGAATAAAAGTGCGCCATTTTCCTCAGAGGCTGCCTGCCACCCTCTGGAGCCATGGCCCCCCCTGTCTCTGCAGACCTCCTTCCTGGGTTCTTAGTTGTTGTCTGATGGCTGTGATAAAATCCCAGACTAAAGCAACCGAAGGGCCGGGCGGAGGTGGCGCACACCTTTGATCCCAGCACTCGGGGGGCAGAGGCAGGCGGATCTCAGTGAATAAAAGTGCGCCATTTTCCTCAGAGGCTGCCTGCCACCCTCTGGAGCCATGGCCCCCCCTGTCTCTGCTGACCTCCTTCCTGGGTTCTTAGTTGTTGTCTGATGGCTGTGATAAAATCCCAGACTAAAGCAACCGAAGGGCCGGGCAGAGGTGCCGCACACCTTTGATCCCAGCACTCGGGAGGCAGAGGCAGGCGGATCTCTGTGAGTTCAAGGCCAGCCTGGTCTACAGAGTGAGTTCCAGGACAGCCAGGGCTCCTATACAGAGAAACCCTGTCACCAAAACAAAAACAAACAAACAAACAAAAAAAAAACAAAAGCAACTGAAGGGCCGAGAGACAGGCGAGTCAGTAAAGCTTTCGTTGTGGGAACACCAAGACCTGGCCTCCCTCTGCCCTAATTTCAGAACAACAGCAAAGGCTCTGTACATGGTGGTGCGTGCTTGTAATGCCAGCACCAGGGAGGCAAAGACCCACGGGCCACTGAGGCCCTCTGGTTAGTCAGCAGAGCCTAGTCAGTGAGCTCCAGGCCAAACAAGAACTGTGTCTCACACAAGGCAAAACGGATCCCAAGGTGAATGTGCCGGAGGAACCACACCGGAGGTTAACCTCGACACGTGCAAACATACGTGTGCCTCCACACGTCCCTCCCCCTCCCACAAGCAGTTTAAGGAAGGGTTTATCTGGTTCACAGTTGGAGGGGACAGGCCGTCTTGACACAGAAGAGGTGGCAGCGGGAGAGCGGATAAGGTGGCTGCTCACACCGAACAGGTGGTCGGGAAGCAGAGATCAACCTGCTGCTCAGTCCGCTTTCTCAGTTTCGTTCACTAGGCCCCCAGCCCATGGCATAACGCTGCCCACTCTAAGGATGGGTCCTGTTTAGTTGAAACTTCTTTGGATATGCCCTCATAGACATGGCCAGCGTGAGCCCCCAGCGAGATTCTAAATGCAGTCAAGTTGGCCTCGCAGCTCAGCTGTCATGCTCTGGATGGGCCTTAGACGGCCACCCTGGATGAGCGAGAGTCACAGCACACTTTGGAATGTCGGAGGGCAACTTCGTAGAGTGCGCTCTTCCCGTCTCCCTTTTACATGGGCTCTGGGGCTGGCACTCGGGTCCCCAGGCTTGCAAGTGCCTTACCTGCTCAGCCATCTTGATAGCCCCCACATTTCTTTTAATAACACTGGGCAGGATTAAATGTGGGGACTTATGTTGTTATTGCTGTTTTAGATGGGCTCTCGAAGGTTGATCCGGGCTGGCCTGGACTACATGATCTTCCTGCCTCAGCCTCCCAAGTGCTGGGATTACAGGCCTGTGTCACTGTGTTCACAAGATGGGGACTTTGGGTTTAAACTAACTCTGTGTCTTAGTCTGTTTCTGCTGCTGTGGTAGCATCCCTCTGGCTGGGTAGATTCTAAACAGCAGGCATTCCTTTGGCTCCTGGAAATCAAGGACACAGCAAGTTGCTTTTGGCCAGGGCCTTTGCACTGCACTGTCCCCTGGGAGAAAGCAGAAGGTTGAGGGGGCGAAGGAGGAAGACCGAGGGGGGCTGCAGCTGGCTTTCCGTTAGGCTGTCTTTCCAGCACCCACCCTATGCTTTAAGCCACATGACTTCATTTTCTTTTAAAAAATGTTTTATGTGTATAAGCATGTGTGTGCCTGGCTGCCCACAGATGCCAGAAAAGGGCATTAGGTCCTCTGGAACTGGAATTATGGATGGCTGTGAGCCACCACGTGGATTCTGGGAATTGAACTTGGGGCCTCTGTGAGAGCAGCATGTGTTCTAAACCACGGAGCTATCTTTCCAGCCCCTCCTTAGTTTTTGAGACAGGGTTTCTCAGTGAACTTGGAGTTCACCAATTCAGCAAGACCAGCCTGCCAGGGAGCCCCAGGGATCCTCATCCGGGTCCCGAGCCCTAAGGTGGCAGGTGTGCATTACCTCACGGCTTCTCACATGGGTGCTGAGGGGCCAAAATCAGGCCCTCACTGCTGCAACACCAGCACTTGCCCCTCTGGGCCAGCTCCGCATCTCCCTAGGTAGACATTTTAAGACTGTGACTCTGTGGTAACAGAAAACCTTGCAGTCACAGGAAACACAGCACTGTTGAAAGGACCACTCTCCTTCCAAGGATCTGCGGAGGAGAACGTGAAAACAAAGCAGACCAGCAAAACAGTCCCGATTAACTGACCCTGGGAGCTGATAAGCTCTCTTTTTCACTTTTTCAAATCCCAAGTATGAATAACTTCTATCAAGATGAATTATACTTTAAAAATAGTTTTTTATCTCGAATGTCCTATTTTTAGTAAAAACAATACAAACAAGGAAAAGAAGAAAACAAACTTGTTCACATTTTGTGTGTTTCCACCCAGCCCTTCTGCGTGTCTATTTCCACGACTAAAAATAGATACTCTTTTGACTAGGGAAGAAAAATCCCAAGGAATTTTGGAGGCACTCTGCCTGGTTCTGAGGTTCCCATTCCCTAGGAGTTCCCTGCAGCCTGGGAAGTCTGATTGCTGGTCCAGGCTTCTGGGATAGGGTCTGCTGTTAACTCAGGCTCCTGGCTAACGTGGGCCCATGGCCTCAGGACCCCGGGCCAGGGAGTTGTCCTCAAGCTCAGCTTTCCCCGGCCAGCCTCAGGCGCTGCCCCTGCCTCTTCTGTAATTTCTGTGCAATCAGTTTATTAACGACTCCAGACTCCGCAGACTCTAACCAGTGACTTTTCTACCCAGTGGTTTGGGTACCTGTTGGCTCCCCTGAAAGCTTTATTATCTGGACTCACTGGGTCTGGCAATCAACAGATTAAGCTTGCTTTGGTGGCTCATACCTGTGATCCCAAGGCAGGCAAGAGAATTGCTGTAAGACTAGCCTGGGCTACAAAGTGAGACTTTATTTAAAAAGAAAAAAAGAAAGAAAAAAGAAGAAAAGAAAAGCAGGTTTGGGCCTAGGGTGTGTGCTGGGCCTGCTGGAGCCTGCCCTGACCAGGTGGGGACAATGTCACAGGGCTCTGTTGGGCCGAGACTATGTTGGTACCAGGGGCTCTGCATGGTTACTGACTCATTCACCCCTCCAGGCCAAGGCAGCTCCCCTCAAGGTCCTGGGATATCTCCCTTTGATTCCTAGGAAATGCTACTACTCATTCTGAGGTTGGGGAGGTGGGGACGGGGACTCCCCAGGCCTGTTTCTGCTGGCCTGTCCTCAGGCTGCAACAGTGACTCCCTGTCTCCGGTTCCATCCCCCTCGGCTCCCATGACCGCCTCTGCCCCCAGTACAGGGCTGTGATTCAGACTTTCTATGTCCCGGCCTGTCCCCTGCCTCCTGCCCACCCCACCCCCAGCAGTTCACTGTAGCCACAGCTGTTTCTTTTTTGGTCAGAGGTGAGCATGAATCAGGAGTCACCAGGGTCTGTCCAGAGTTGGCTTTTTCACTTAGAAGGCAAAACAGGTCAGGCTGGCCAGGCCCTCCTTGCTGGGTCAGGGTGAGGACATGGGTAGGGGAGGCCGGCCTGGCGACTAGGCCAGAAGTGGGTGGGTGGAGCTGGGAGCTCTGGGATGGCCATCTGAGGAGCCACCCACAGCATCCACAGGCTAGTCCCTCTCTGCCCTGAGTCCCCAGGGGATGGCACAAAAATATGCTCAGTTTTTGTTATTCAGTGATGGGAAGGAGTACTTACTCTCTTCTCTAAGAGCCTAAATCCACCCCCTCCAAAAAAGAGCATCTCCTAGGAACCGTTGTGTGTACAATATGTCTTAATTGATATTTATAATTTAAAACATCACCTTTATTGTATTTTCTATTATTGTGTATATGTAGGGGGGAGGGGGAGATGGGGAAGGAGAGAAAGAGGGAAAGAGAAGAGAGGGAGGGAGGAAGGGAAGGAAGGAGGGAGGGAGGGAGAGAGAGAGAGAGAGAGAGAGAGAGAGAGAGAGCGCACTGGCTCTGGCCTGGGGGAGTTAAGTGGGTTTCCCTCGGCTGTGCCCCCTCATCCCCAACAAGCCTTGGTTGTAAGTTGAGACGGTACTTTTTAAAAGTCATGGTTAAGGTCATGAGGGCCTTCAGACACCAAGGTCCTACAAAGCTGAAGCCACGCAATAGCTGCTTGACAAGGAGAAGCCAGTTGAGAAAGCAAGGGCCCAGCCATTTGTTATATATAGTTAGATCCCTGTGACTTCAGGGACAGAAGGCCTGCTCAGTCTCCTCAGAGACAAGGGAATGGGGTGCTAGAAGGGTAAATGTGGGGCTAAAGCTCAGCCACGGGTATCAGTACTTCATGAGAATAACCAGGGCCCAGTTTCCCTCTCTCTTCTCGCGCCCATTCAGAAATCGCTAAGGGCAGACACAGCTGCAGCTCTGATAGCAAGGGCTGCCTTAGTTAACACGCTGGATGTGCAGGCTGGCTCACAGACCACTCCCAGGACCCTTCCCACCAGGTTGCTGAGCAGCTGCATTTTTTTTTTTTTCTGAGAAGTTTCCGACTTTAGATGATCCTCCTGCTGTGCAGGAAGATGGAGGCCTGAAGACATCATGTGAACTCTGGGATCTTTATGTCTCAGAAGGTGAAGTTGGCTCATTTGTGAGCTTTCCTGAAACAAGCTGGTAGAACCCCTCCATTCCTCCCAGCCATGTAACTACAGAGGCCAGAAGAGGAAGTCAGATCCACCAGAACTGGACTTACTGGTGGTTGTGAGCCACCAGGTGGGTGCTGGGAACTGAACCCAGGTCCTCTGCAAGAGCAGCAAGTGATCTTAACCACTGAGACATCCCTCCAGCCTCTCAAGCTGAGTTCTTATATCTAGACGTGATAATAAGGTGTCACGGTTTGATCTTAGATTCCTTCAACATCCTTATGATCCCCAATCATTGGCACTCACATCCACAACCAGGGTGGTAGATAAAGGCCTCCCTGTCCTGTCTTCTTAAGCTGTAATCATCCTGGAATCTTCACGCAAGAGGGACTTTAAACTATGTGGTTATTTGGGCAGCTGTGGTGATATTTTATTTGTGCTGAAATGTGATATCTTATTTGTATGTTAATAAATAAAGTTTGCCTGGAGATTAGAGGTCATAGCGAGCCATAAACAGAAGTCAGGTGGTGGTAGCTCATGCCCTTAATCTGATCACGTGGCAGGAAGAGTCTCTGTGTGTTCAAGGACACAGCCAAGCATGGTGACACACACCTTTTATCCCAGTACCAACCATAGAGACCTGGAGGTCTGTATAGACAGACAGTGACGTGGAAGTGATGTGGCTGGGCTTAGAGCCAAGAGGAAGGCAGAACAGGAAGGCAATAATGGCATACTTGGTATAGAGACGAGGCTAAGACAATAGAAAATCAATGTAGAGCCAGAGGTGTGGAAATTTCCTAGGATCAGCTTCTTGAAGAAGGACAATACGCTGAAATACAAAGACCATGTTTATACGATAACCAAACCTTAATTCTAGCCCAGGCTGGCCTGGAACTCATGATCCTCCTGCCTCCACCTCCTTCAGCAGGTGGTGGTGTTGCATGCCTTTAATTCCAGCACTTGGGCCACAGAGCCAGGCCGATCTCTGTGAGTCTGAGGCCAGCCTGGTCTACAGAGCAAGATCCAGGACAGGCACCAAAACTACACAGAGAAACCCTGTCTTGAAAAACCAAAACCCAAACCAAACCAAAAATAAAATAAAATATGTGGTTAAAAACTAAGAAATGAGGCTGGGGAGTGACGCACAGGCTGTGCAAACCTTTCCTATTAGAACCCACGTTAATAACAAACAAACAAACAAAAGGTGTTTGGCACTCCCTGGGAACTCCAGTGCTGAGGAGGGGAAGAAAGGCAGGGCCCTAGAGCTTGCTAGCTAAGCAGGAAAACCTACTCAGAGAATTTCAGACCAGTAAGAGGCCCTGTCCAGGAAAGGGGGTTAGGGCTAGAAAGCTCGCTCAGCAGGTAAGAGCACCAGCTGGTCCTCCAGAGGACCCGGGTTCAATTCTGAGCATCCGCATGGTAGCTCACAGCCATCCAAAACTCCAGTTCCCTGGGAACTGACACACACTCTTCTAACTCCACAGGTATTTCATGTATGCGGTACACTGTCATACATGCAGACAAAACACCCTATAAAGTAAAGTGAAAGACATGAATACATCCTAAATAAAAATGTGCATAACATCTGAAGCCCCCGAAACTGTGAGCCAAAATCTGTTTTCCTCTTTTGATTTTCTTAGGTATTTTGTTACAGCAGCAAGAATGACAGCTAACAGAGCAATGGGTTCTCTCCTAGTGTCTACAGCACAGTTCATCAGAATGACAGCTAACAGAGCAATGGGTCCTCCCCAGTGTCTACAGTACAGTTCATCAGAATGACAGCTAACAGAGCAATGGGTCCTCCCCAGTGTCTACAGCCAGTCTGTGTTCAAGCCCTGGCATCCACATCTAAAGCCTGTGCAACTGTTATCTCAACACCCCTAAAATTGAACTTCATGTGAATGAAGAGAGAGAGAGAGAGAGAGAGAGAGAGAGAGAGAGAGAGAGAGAGAACAGGAAGAAGGGAAGGCAGATGCTAGGGGGATAATGCATCGCTCCCACAGACACACCCAAGGACTTGCTTCCTTTTTAATGTATGCATGCATACCCTATGCAGCACGAGGTAACTCTATTCCTTACCCAGCCTGAACTGGCTTCAGGCTGTGGCTCCTCTCTCCTGTACACCAGGAATGGATTGGCTGATTCTGGCATGAAAGGAGGGTCCACTCAACAGAAGGAGCAAGTCCAAAATTCAAGCTCCCAAGGATGGAACTGGACTTGACCAAGATTCTTAACTGCCACCAAGCAAAGGAAGTTGAGGCCCCAGGAGGAAGCAGACCAAGAATGAAGGATCACAGGCTCCAGGTCGAAGTTCATATCCTGACCTTGATACCCATAAATCACGACCTTGGGCAGGCACTCGGATCCTTTCTCTGAGTCTCTATTGTCCTAACTCAACCGAGGATAATGATCTTCCATACAGCTGGCTATTTAGGTTCCAGGAGACACAGGGCCTCTGGTGTAGTGCTGAGTGGACCGCCAAGGGCTCAAGGAACAAGCCTATATTTATGCATTCATGCACGGTTATTTGCATTATTATTACTATACTCCTTGTATTGTTTGTGCTTATCTCTCTGGCATCTAAGATGGTGCCTGGAACACAGTAGCTTGATAATTATGTGCTGAGTGAACAAGTGACCTCAGAACAGGTTTAGCTGCAGGTAGCCAGTAAGGGAGCAGATCCCCAGAACCCCTGAGGTAGGCTTGACTCACCCCTACTTGTCTAAGCCATCCTGATGACCCTCATGATAAATAAACAAGATAATCGGGAATGTAGAAAGCCCAAGTTGTGGCTTCCCTTCAGCTGAATTCTGGGAAATCTGTTCCTTTCTTACCTGGGAGAGGAGGTGGAGGGCCTCTGGGGATGTCTGTGGATTCTGACTCACACAAGGCCTGTGGGAAGGGACAGTGTCCTCATCTATCCCATGGAGCAGAGACGGGACTGGGAAATAAGATCAGGATGAGGAAAGGACATAACCTCTGTCCTCACTGAGCTCCACATCTGGAATGTCCAGCATGCTTAGCTGGCATTGCCGAAGGACATTGTGCCCCCACAGTCATGCCTGAGGACAGAATTCAGACTCCACGGTTCTTTGGACCAATGCCCCTCCAAATTCCTGGAGCTCTGAGATGTCCCATTGCCATAGATATTTTGAAACTGAGTTTTTAAAAACAATTTAAATTTATAAATTATTTATAATTTTAAATTATAAAAAACAATTTAATATATATTTTATTATGTGTGGAGGTGGCACATCCATGTCATGGCATGTGTGGAGGAGGTCAGAGGACAAGTTACGGAGTCAGCTCTCCCTTTCTTCCACTTGGGTGTCAGACTTGGTGGCAAGCACCTTTAACCACTGAGCCATCTCACTGGCCCAGAGTCTTCTGTCCGTACCAGCGCCATTTCTGTTCCCCTGGGTCCACATCAGAAGCCAGACATTCTCTCCCCTTCCATGCCATCCCTTATACCTGTAGATTCTACCTCCGAAGGCCTCACCCCCACGCTCTAGAGAAGTGAACTACCGTTGCCTGCTGGCCATCTGCAGCCAACCTCTCCGCCCTTTCCCTGGTTCAGCTCCAAAAAGGCCAGTGAGCCTCCTCTGCTCTACACAGTGACTTGGGACCTAGCCAGGCACATCCCCATCCACAGACTCCTAAGCATTCCAAAGACATTTGCAGGGTCAGCCACCCCTTCCTCTTTAACACGTAGCGAGCACCTTGGAGGACCCAGAGCAGTCTCTTGCATGTCCCAGAGTCTATTTTCACAGCCAGAAATGTGACCTTGTTTCAGGAATACCAGTTAACATGCTCCCCACAATTAATTTCTCCAACAGCTCCAAGAACTGGCCGTCACCCCCAGTTTTGCTTTTAACCCAGGTTCCACCCCCCACCCCCCACCCCGCACCCCTGGGACTTGGTCGCCGGTCCCTTTAGTCTTCGTTAGCTACCCTGGCAGCCCCCTGGGCTTCCCCACCAGAGCCCCACACCTGCCTGGTACATCTTTCCCTCTTGCTGGGAGCTTCCGTTAGGAGAGAGGACATGGGCTCAGGCTTGTCACACCCCCAGAGTGCCTGGCCCCGAGAAAGCTGAATTAATGATGTTTTTGGAGTGGAATGGAGGTGACACAGACCCTGTATGCTCGTAATTTCTTTTCCTCTCACGCTAAAAATCTGTCATCCCCAAAGGGGGTTCGCTCAGTGTGTCTATGGAAAGTCTGAAGTGGGGAGGGAGACCGCTTGTCCCAGCTTGGTATTTGTGTTAGTTCCCAACATGCATCTGTCCCTTCACTAACATGGAGGAACAGGGTCCCTAAGGTGGGCTGTGGGGACAGGGCAGGGTCAAGATTGGGCATCTTTCTAGCCCTTTCTGAGTCAGGACCTCCTGACATCATTCATCCTCATGTACCCAGAGATGTGAACTCCCAGAGGGCTGGAGCTTCTTCTTAAAATGGGACCCCAATCTAGGACGCAGCCACAGCTTTCTGGGTTATCAGCCTGCAGGGGTCATTCTCTCCCTCAGGACCTCTCATGGCTCAGAGACTCACACGCTGACTAGAATAACAATGGCCGGGACAGGCTTTTGGAGGGGCAGGAAGGCCCAAGCGGCCCTGCGAGACGGAGAGGTCACTTGGTGTCACCAATATTTATTGACACAGCCATGACTGTTCCTGGGACAGCTGTGAATCAGAGGAACTGCCGGGAAAAGCATTCAAAGGCAGACACACACTGTCTGACCCGTGCCTGCCACCCCACCCGCCCCCCTGTGCCTTGCACCAGGACGAGAGCCTGGAAGTCCTGGGGCCGGCATAGCACAGCACATGCGCAGGTGCCCACAGGACAGTGCCTGCTAACTGTCACTTAGTTTGGGTCTTCATCAGTTAAACACATGTACTGAGAGATCCCACTCTACCCCAGACTACATCCCATGCATGGACTGTGGTTATTTTTAGTCTGGGGACCGACTGGGGACAAGTCATTGCCTCATGCAGATTTTAGGTTCAGTTCTCTGCTTTTGGTTGGTTTCAGGACGCTCAGGTGAGGGGCACAGCCAGGCTCTGGCCTCAGGACCTGGGATCCTAGCAGTACCAGCCCCGGCTGAGAGCCAGCAGTTTCCATTCAGGTTCCAGTCAAAATACAGTTTCCATATGTACCCCCTGAGGGACAAGACAGCGCGAGTGAGCCACCCAGGTTCAGCCCAGGACAGGTGCCCCGGCCAGGCTATTCACAGGCCTCGCAGTGAAACTAGCTGCTGGGCTCCCTAGCTTCTGGGGTCCCCCCTTCCCCATTACAGTGGCCCCTGTTGCTGGGAGACACTGTACAATACACAGCCATCTGCTCTGCAAACCTCCCATAGCCCCTTCGGCCATTTGAGCAGCCCAGTCCTCTAATCAGAACCAGCAGGATTGGCTCGCGCCCTCCAGAACCTAGCCTGACTTCAGTGGCCATAAACCATGCGAGCTCTTTCCTCTGTGCCTCTGGGAGACGCTGCCTGTAGGAACCTCATAGGCAAGCACTTCCTGTGGCTCGAGGCCAGGCAGGTGCAGCTGAGTCTTCCAAGGCACAGAGCCCGGGGCTTCCCAAGCAAGCCTGGTACTCACAGGCCTGGCACACCAAGTACCAGGAGGACACTGTGGAATGGAAGAACCCCAAGGGCCAGGCCCTGGCTGCTGCCTCTGAGCTCCTCAGCATCCTTGCCTCTTCCCTGCAAAGTCAGAGTCATCTGGGCAGCCCCAGGGACCCTCTTGTAGGTAGCGGACCGCCAGCCATTTTCCTTGACTTCTGTTACGTCGGCTCAGACATGTCATGTGGACTTGATTTTACCTGTCTGCCTCAGGATCCCATAGGGCAGGGTACCCACCGTGCACTTTGCACCAAGCTGTGTTCAGAGATGTTTTCCGGGCCATTGGATCAGAGCTACCCGAATCCCTCTGGAGCCGGCTCTGGCGGGAGGCTTTGCCACTGGAGCCTGAGAAGCCAGCTTTTTCCTACTGGACTCTTCAAGGCTGGTGTGGTCTGGACCTGTGTGGTCTCTGGCCAAGTGGACCAGGTTGATTCCAGTACATACACCAGCTTCTGGCCCAGTGTGGACCAAGCATTCCATTTGGAGAGCACCCCCATGGCTGAGCTGGCTGAGGACTCATCTGGAATCTCTAAGGAACCCCAGCTGCTGGGTCTTCAATCCCTGGTGTGAGGGAAGCAGTTAGCATAGTACTTCCTGTCCCAGCTTCTGCTCAGGCAGAGATGGAGGTCGCTGGGCACCTTGACATCTTGGATGCCCCCACAACTTCAAGGCCAGTGTGCGGAAAGCCACTCTCTCAAGCCCCAAGATGGGTGTGTAGTAGTTCCTTCCAGGCCCAGCCTGGCGGGGTAGCCTCAGGAAAGAGGGCTTTTCTTTACAGAGCTTGGAAGACGCGCGCGTCCCTAAACCAGGAGCCCAGAGAAGGGCTACTAGCCGATACAGACGGGGGCCTCCCCTGCGAGCTGGACGGAGCGGCCAGCGGGCAGCCAGCAACACATAGCTCCGCTTACTTGAAGCAGCTGGGGATGCTCTTCCAGACCCAGCGAGGAGGATGGCTAGCACCCTCCTCAGGAGTGGGGCTGGGGATGGCATCAGGTGTCAGTCACAGCAGAGTTGTCATCAGCATGTCCCCGGGGTGGAGGGAGGGCCCCAGTACGAGGTGGCCCTGCCGTGCTCAGTTGTTTCTACCAGCTGCTGCCCAGCATCTAGCTCCTCATCGGCAGTGTGCTGCAGAGTCTGCTGGGCAAAGGGGCGTGCAGCGGAGAGACGGCAGGTGTTTACCGAGCCCAGTGTGTGCTGGCACCGGTGCTGGACTTCGGGGGTTAGAATGAGGGGAGAAGTTGCCCCCTAGAAGTGGCAGGTGGGGGAGGGGCGGGGAATGAAGGGAGCGTGTGAGTCAAGGCTGTGGGCCTCCCTGGATCAGCTGGGAACAGGAACCTCAGATCCTCCCCCCGCCATGCACAGGGATGGGATCAGCCAGTGTTTCCAGAACGGGAGATCTTTGGTGGGTTGCATCTCTGGGAAGGAGGGCGGGCTGAGGGGAGGAAGTGGTGTCTAGCCTGAGGCTGCAGCTGTATCCTCTGCCTGCTTCTCCACAGCAGTTGTTCACAGGTCTGGCCTGCTCTCCCTATGTGGTGCCCCGACCGTGACCCTGAAAGGGGCTGTGGAAATGCTCCCCACCCCCACCCACCTGCCTCCTGGTCTCAGACATTCCCGTGTGACTCTGGAGGGTGGAGATGAAGCCTGGAAGCTTCTCAGAATCCTCTGTTGTCCCCTCCCCGGCTGGTAGCCAGAATTCCCCACCTTTTCTGTGGGACCCGGATGGCCTGCCCAGTTGCTCAAGCCTGCAGGGCACATGGATCTGAACCTTACTTCCACTCAGGAAAAACCTGGCTTATCCAAGGGTGTGCCTGGCAGGCCTCAGCCAGGGGCCCTGTGCCAACAGCGTAGTTATCGGAGGGCCCTGGCTTGTGCACTGTGTTCAAGGGTGCTTTGAGCCCCCCTGGCTTAATTGAGAACCATTTCTCGTCTGGCTAGGATTCGAGGTCTGGGGAGAGCATGGGGCTCTGGAATCCTTCCCAGGGAGAAGCTTGAGCGACGACAACCAGTCCACAGGTCCACTTAGGGGAGGCTTCTAGCCACTGGAGCCCAGTTCACAGGGCTCAGCGAGGTCCTGGGCTTTTGTGAGGTTAGCCTTGGGGGACGCCAACACTGCCCTTTCCTTACTGTCCTCTTCTGAGCAGGTGCTGAGAACA